TTCTACCATATATATTTAAATGAAGCAAAAATCAAGTTATATAAAGCCTGTGGTCACTGTTATGCTACTTTCCCCTTCCTTAGTATAACTTATCAATACTTGAACATAATGAAGTGAATGGAGTGAAAACATTATTTTTTATAATCTTCATCAGTTCTTCTTTTCCATACACTTTTCCGTTGGTACCAGTTTGGTCTCAGAGTAACAATTTCCCCTTTCTGCTTTATTAAGTTGAAGTTAATCACTTACATAAGTGCTTTGTGAAAGGCCAATATGTAACTTCAAAAAAAGGAAAATAGTCTTTGCATTCACCAGTGATGTAGAATGCCAGACTAGCTCCAGAGAAATATATTTGTGTAAGTAAAGTATACAAACTTTTTTGAGCTGTGAGTTTTCTAATTGTAAGAGTTGTCCTTTAAATCATGTAATCCTGCCCTAATACACTGCTTATTTGCCATAACCCTCTGACTGGTCTCAATATGTTCAACTGGATTGCAGGATTTGCTGAGCAGACAGCAGATTCCTGATAACCAAATGTGTTTTACTACACACCTGACAGGCATGCATTGGAGCACCAGACAGTATCCAGTCAACCTGGCAGCTGCTCACTCACTCACTCACCTCCCTGCAGCAAGACAGGGAACATAACAGGAAGAACAAAAGCAGGAGAACTTGTGGGTTAAGATAAAGACAATGTAATAGATGAAGGAAAGTGGAAGCGAAAGGCAATACAGAGGAAATCACTGGCTACCTCCCATAAACAGGCCAGTGTCAGGCAGTCTCCAAGCAGCAGCCAACTTGGAAGACATCTCCTTTGTGTACCTCCATTTTCTATTGCTGAGCATAACGCTGTGTGAGATGGAATATCCCTTTGATCAGTTTGGGTCGGCTGTCCTGGCTGTATTCTACTCTCATCTTTCTGGACCATCAGCAGCATTTCTCCCTAGGTGGGGCTGATGACAAAGTGGGGAGAAAGAGAAAGTCCTTGCCCTATCCAAGCACAGTTCAGCAGTAGCTGAAGTATTTCTGTGTTATCAACAGTAGTTTAATCACAAATGCACAACACAGCAATATTCAGGTTGCTATGAAGAAAATTAACTCCACCTCAGTAAGACACAGTACACACATGAACAGTTTATGTGGAAAAATATTACATCAAATCTTTAGAATTTGCACAATTTAGAATTACTTGAACTAAATTCAATTTAGAGATTTAACACGTCATATGTGACATTTCGTGTTTCACTTAATCTTATCTAATAAAGAACCATACTATTCCATATGTAAGGATCATTATCTATGCTTCTGATATAAATAAATACTTCATAAAATGGAAATAATCTTTCAGATTAGCAGATGTATCTGAAGTTCAAGGCTAAATGGAATTTTTGATGCAGGAACTCTATTCACATTGTATAGTTGCTGTTAGGAAGCCTGTTTTATATGCAGGAGGTTCCTGCTGGCTAATTTAGCTCTCTGAGTGCAAGGCAGAGCTTGTAGCACATCTCTCCTGCTTTGTGAAATGCCCAAATTGTTCACAGCTGGTTGAGGCTGACAGAGTGGGACAGCAACACCGAGGGTTCACTGTGAATGTGTGAAATAGAGGCACGAGAGAATGTGGCAGTAATCAAATTACCAAGTTCCTGTATTTACTTTTTTACTGTATTTCAGGCTTGACAAGTCTCTGTGAGTTCTAGTGGTGAAGACAAGTTTCTTCTGATGTAGTCTGTGCAAAAAGATGAAGGAAAGCTCTGAAATCACACAGATAGCCCCTACCAGTGGTCATGTTTTCATATTTTGTTTCATCATGGTTCATAGATCATATACCAAAAGTGAAACTGCTGGGTGATATTAGCAAATTTATATTAGTGGGTCATGGTTTCACCAGGTGGCATTCCATCTATTTTAGCATTTCTCTGTAGAGTTTTAATATTATGTTCTGCTCAGCCTTTTTGTGTTTAAATCTAATGTTAGATGGGTAATAATAAGTGGAAGTTGACTTCAGAGAATGTGCACAATCTCTTTATTGTGCTTGAACTTCCCAATTTTTTTTTCTGTCTCTTATCTCTACTTGTGTACATTTTCTATGTACCTACATTGGCTTGGTTATACCATAACACATAGAAAGTGTGCTGTGCATAGAAAACAGTAATTTCCTATCCATAAATGAACTGAATAAAAAACCATGAAAGCAACCAGGCAGTAACAGCAAAGTGCATCAGCATGGCTGACGCAATTAAGTCATTTCACAACATTCTGAGTGTTTTACACGGAGTTCTCTGGCCTTCACAGACCTTCAGGAATATACAGACTTAAGTGCTTTGAGTCCAGTCTGCCAGCACCATAGTCAGAGTGAGAGCTGTGTTGCAGAACATGGGGCGCTTGCACTTCATAAAGAAAGTAAAATGCAGGGTTTTGGACAGTTTCCATTCCTGTTTTAGCCTAAACAAGACAGAAAAAGGCGTTAGGTTGTGGGAATTGGATGTCAGAAACTAGTGAAATGTCAAGTACTGTTGAGGAAAAAAAGTGCTGCTGAAAAATGGAAATTTTTCAACTTTTTTCAAATAGTTTTCTCTAGAGATTCTACCTTTGACATAGGAGATGACAAATTCATGCTGAAGTAAAGAAAGTTTTAATCCTTTTTTCCCTAAAATTGAGTTCAATTGTTTTTTTTTAAATTCATCACTTACCTTTAAAATCACAGATCCTTACCACTCCACAAATACTCTTTCTGTGGCCAAAATAACTTTCTGTATAAGAAAGAATGGATATGACACTGGTTCCAGAATGAGAGGAATTATAGGAAAGAATGTATTGTCAGTAGGTTTCAAATTGATTTATAGGGACCCATGTTTCTGCAAAAAAAGTAAAGGAGAACAGAGAGGCAAAAAAAAAAAAAAAAAGGACTTCTGCTCTACTTGTTTCTGCAATAGGCACTCTTCTTACATGTCCAAGTCCTATTTTTATGCCTTTGACACAACCCACTCCATCGGCTGAGGGGATGGTTTCAATTAGCAAGTGTGGCCACCTACTGGGGAAAAAAACAAGGTAAAAATAAATCAGCAATGCACAGAATGTATAAAAATGATACCACCTTGAGCACAGGTAGAGAGCCATCTAGAAATACAACAAATACTAGGACAAAAATTCCATTTCCTGAATTTTATCCTGGGATAAAAAAAAAATCCCAGTTTCCTGTGCCCCATTACTACCATCTAATTTTTACATTACTGTACTTTGCTCTTTCTCTCTATAAATAGTGCTCCCTTCTGTCAACTTTACTAGATAGAAATTTCACCTTACAGATGAATGGATCACAAGGCAAGATACAACCAATCATTTTATTTGTTAAACTACCAAAAATGTTGCTTTGTTTTGCAGGAAAACTCTGAACTTCAAGCAACAACAAATATGACTGAAATATGAAAAGAATTGAGCACACTAAGACTTTACAAGAGCTTCTTTAGTTCCCAAGTGGACATGGGGGTTCCATACTAGGGATGTGGTGCAGCCACATCTACAGCAGGAAAACACATAATGGACACCATCATTGCCACAGCTAGATCATAGTTGTTGCTATAGATGATGCTTCTTGCCTGGAGAAGACCAAGATACATTTTTGCTGGAAGTTCATGGATCATGGCACTGACAAGTACTGTTGGTGACTTGGACAGCTGGAGCACATCATTAGACAGCAGGGACTGCCTGAGCCTCTCACCTTCCATTTGTAGAAAAGAAATTTAGTTTTAACTTAGCATCATTCATCTAAAGTCCTTACCAAACCTTACCAAATGTTAGAACAGAGAATAAAATGGTAACACCTGGTAATGTTTGATTAATTACAGTTAAGGTCTGTATATTTATGTAAGATTGGTTTTGCCATCAAAGGACTATGGAGAATGGAAATTAATAATAATTTATTTATTTAATTTATTTATTAATTTATTTATAAATAATTAATTTATTTATTAATTAAATTAATTAATTAATTATTTATTTAAATAAATTTATCTCAATCTTAATAAATTGAGATATTTTGCTGGGAAGAACAGGATGGTTTGCTACATGTCATCTGAGAATGAGTCTTTGTAAGAACTGAGGGTCTGTTAAACAGCGGTGAAACTTGTTCAGTCTTACCCATGCTGCTTTTCTGAAATAATCCACATCTGTTTCTAAAAGGCAAGTACAGTGGGTTAGATATGCGAGGTGTTGACTCATTTAAGACAAACAGTGAGAGCACTCACATGTCGGATACATGGGGTAGTGCTGACGGGCTTCTCTCACCCACCTCCAAGCTGTGGGTGGGTGAGCTGCAGTTTTCTCTAGAAGAACAGCCCCAATATTTTAATAGCATGTGACAACACTTGTGAAAGGGGCAGTATTTTTTATTACAGTAATAAAGATTGAAAATTTGATCAAACTTTTGACCATGTAAGACCTCATTTCAAACTCAGGAGTCAACCTGCCTGTCTGAAAGCTGGTAGATTTTCAAACAGTCCGTGTAAGGAATGTGCGACCTCTGCGGCCGGGCCTTAGTTATTTTTCTAGATCATGACATTTACAAAACAGCCCAGTGTGATTTATTTCCTGACTTTTCGCGAAGGATGCGAGATGTAAGGGGGGTGGCGGGTGCTGAGGGCGGTAGAGGGAGGGTTGGGAGGGGAGAAGAGGTGGGCGCTGGTGCGAGGGGATGGCGGAGCGCTGTGAGGG